GGCCTCCAAAATGGCTGCCCTCGCCAGGCCCCTGGTGGCGGCCAGCTCCAGGCCCTTAAAGTGGCAGGCACACACAGTGCCCTGCCACACCTCCCCTTCCCCACTCCCCCCTCCTGACAGCATACTGTTGGCTTATAGTCTACCGTAACCCTCAGGTCCTTCTGTGCAGTACTGCAGCCAAGCTGGTCATTACCCAGTCTTTGTCCATGCAGTTATTCCATCCCAAGTGCAGGATTTGCATGTATCTTTGTTGAATTACGTTGCAGATCACTTCTCCAGTCTAGCCAGATCATTCTGGATCCTAGCCCCACCCTCCAGTGTCTGCAGCTCCATCCAATTTGGTGTCATCAACAAACTTGCTTGGTGTGCTTTCAATCCCACCGTCCAAATCATTAATGAAGATGAAAAATACAAGACCAAGGACGGCTCCTGTGGGGAAGCTGCCAGTTAGACATTGAACCACTGATGGTTCAATGTCTAATTGGGTATGATGATCCAACTAGGGATGCGATTGTTAAAGTATCTTTTTAACTTCCTCTAGTTATATTGGTTAACCAATAACACCTGTCTACTCCTGGCTGGGGCGTGCGGAGCCCTGAGCCAGCATCTGACCCACCCGGCCCCACCAAGGGTAGCACACAAACCTGCTTGGACACAGCTGCAGCCTTTGACAGGTGGGGAAGGAGGTGGCAGCAAGTCCCGTCAGACAACACAGCCCACATGAAGCTCTAGGCAGCAGCAGGCAAGGGACTTTCCCAGCCTGCTGCAGCCATCGACATGCTAAGAGAGAAGGAGCAGATTAGCTATGGGTACTAGTCACCCCTTGGCTCTTCTCCTCCTCCCTGCCTGTTCCTGAGGCACCACGCTGCTTCCCGTCTCCACTGGACTGCATTCCATGCTAAAAGTTAACTGGTAATGCATTACCAGTATAAATATACTTGTCATTTAAGTGTTTAACCTTTCACAGCCCTAGATTCAGCCAGTTAAGTATATACCTTGCAGTACTTTCATCTAGTCTGTATTTCCTTAGCTTGTTAATGAGAATGTCACAAGAGACACATCCTGACTGTAGCAAAGCTTTTAACATATTGCATCCACTGCTCTTTCCCAAACCCCACACCATCCACAAAGCCTGTCACCTTATCAGAGAAAGAAATCAAGCTGTTTAGACATGATTTGCTCTTGGTGAATGAATGCTGGCTATTCCTAATCACCTTGTTCTCCTCTAGGTGCTTCCTTGAGGACCTGATCTATGACCTCTCCAGATATTGAGGTCAGACTGAGTGGCCTGTGGATCCCCAGATCCTCCTTCCCTTTTATGAAAGTGTTTATGCCCTCTTCCAATCATCTCAACCAGCCTCAATGAGTTTTCAAAATAATTGGCTATCTTCTTTGTGATTACCTCAGCCAATTCTGTCAGTACCTTGGGGTGCATTCTGTCTGGCCAAGCTGACTTGAAAGCATGTAGCTTCTCTAAGTAATCTCCAACCTGTTTTTCCACTACTCAAGGCTGTTTATCTCCTTCTCTATCTTTGCTGCCAACTACACTTGTCTTCTGGTAGCTGACCCTATTTGTGAAGGCTGAAGTAAAAAACACATAAAATACTTCAGCCTTCTGCATTCCTTAAGGGGCCTATGGTTTCTTTGGTCTTCATCTTATTTTTTTACATACTTGTAGAATTCCTTTTTATTGCCTTTTATGTCTCTTGCCTGTTGCATCTTAAATTGTGTGTAACCCTTCCTAATTTTCTTCCTGCATGCCTATGTGATACTTTTTTATATTACACACACACTCTCTCTCTCTCTTCCCTGGTAATATGACCACTTTTCCATTTTTTGTAGAATTCCTTTTTGAATTTCAACTCATTGAAGAGATTTCTGTCTAGTCAGGCTGGTCTCCTGCTGCACTTCCCATTCTTCCACCATAGCTTGCTCCTGAGCCCTTCATATGACTTCTGTAAAGTACAGCCAGCTCTCCTGGACCCATTCTCCTTTCCCCCTGAGATAGTCCTCCCAGGGAATCTTGCTCACCAGTTCCTGGAGTTTATTAAAGTTTGCTTTTCTGAAGCTGTCTCTTTATTCTGCTGCTCTCCTTCCTTCCTCCCCTTAGGATCTTGAACTCTGTAATTTAATGGGCACTGTCACCCAAGTTACTTTTCACTGTCAAATTCTCAACCTTACTGTTGAGAAGCAGTAGGTTAAGAAGTGCTTCCCTCCTAGGAGGCCTCTCTACCATCGGTATTAAATGATCCCCAATGTACTCCAGACATTTTCTAAACTCTTCATGCACTGCTCTGCTTTCTTCCTAGCAGGTGCCCCAATAATTAAAGTCCCTCATGAAAACCAGGTCCTGTGATTTGAAAGCTTTCATCACCTGTTTAAAAAAAGGCCTTGTTCACCTCCTGGTTTGGTGATCTATAGCAGACACCCACCGTGACAACATCTCCTGCTGTTCTCCCTGCTGACCTTTACCATTAGGCTTTCAACGTGCCTGCCTTCCATATGTACTGCATGAGAGAGCGAGCGAAACAGCTGTTACCATATACCATGTAACACAGAAACTGAAGGCTCCTCCAGCCTTTTCCTGCTGGAAATGGCATGCAGACCAACATTGTCAACGGCAACCTGTTTACTCAGTATGACAAAAGGTATGTTGGGAGGGGTCTGCTATAGACCTCCACATCCACCGGCCCTTGCAGAAACTGGATCACAGGTACATCAACCCCTTCCGTATCACCTGACAAATTAATCCAGTCACCTTTGAATTGCAGCTCCCACTAACTGAATTCATCTGGTATTTCACATGTCCCTGTTTAAGCCCTACATGGAAAGCTCATTCCTCCCCCAGTCTCAACCTCCTCCACCACCTGGAATGGTTCAGGGTAAAGAAGAATACTTAGTCCACAAGATTCTAAATTCAAGATGGAGGTGAGGAAAACTATTACCTTGATTGGGAGGGTTATAGGCTAGAGAAATGCACATGAAAGCCCACAGACTTCCATGCCCCAATTTACTGAAAACATTCTGCAAGGACCACTGAGGCTCAGCACCTCTTGTAAGGTGGGCATAGGGGGGTAGAGTCAGGCTCTGCCTTTGAACCTAGGGCCTTAGTTTGTCTGGCACTGCCACACATCCTCGTCTGCCACCTTCCCAACAGAACGTTAGGTGTGAACACAGGTGGCCTCCAGCTAAGCTGAACCATAAGACTACCATACTGAACCATACTCCCTGCTACCAGCATGGCCAGCCAGGGTCAGCCGATCCTCCATCCCTGCCACTATAAATCCCTGACCAAAAAGAAGAAATGCTGGGGCAACAAAGTTCCAGTCTGTATCCAGGCTGCTACACCCTTGGCTTGTGCTGCTGTTGGCTTTCTCACAGACTCTCTGGATTCCTGACCTGGCTTGCCTGTGCACCCCAAATTTGTCCTGACTCTTGGAAACTGACCTGGCCCAATTCTGGTTTGATTTCCTGAATATCTGTTTTGGCTAGCCTCCTGACCCTCTGGATCTCTGACTCAGATCCCTACATGGATCTTCTTGCGTCTGGCTTCCTGACACTCCAACTCAGTACAC